ACAGTTGTACCAATTGTCTTATAAAAAAAAATGTCTAAAAGTTAATTATACTATTTAGAACGGGATAGTTATTATAAGTAAAAAAAAAAAGGTTTAAACTATAAAATTCTTTTTTTTTATTGAAATAATCTCACAGGAACTTTTCTGGAACAAATAGGTTTTAATTGTTCTGCATTTATTTTAGTCAGGTAGTAATGTCTGATTTTTGGCTGGTCAACTTAAATAGGAATTAAAAAATCAAAGCATAATCAAATTAATATAATATGTAGTAGGTATAATAGTATGACGTATAAATACATTATGTTATGAGCTATGACATCAATGAAATATTTTAATCAAGAAAATTATTTATAATGTTAAGTGTATGCACATTTAAACGAAAACACTATTGCATGAAATTTATTACATAACAAAAAATGTGAAAACTTGGTCTTAAACAATTTATGCATAATACATATTTTAAAACAAAAATAATTCGTGTAACGCATAAAAGATAATTATAATTTTTAACAAGCAACAAAAAAATGTAAGATATAAATAAAAAAGTCATAATCACAATAATATGTGTTATTTCATAATGAAAATATGTTTTTTTTTTTAAATTGAGTTAAGAGGAATTACAGATCAGAATTAAAAAGTATGAAATTATAGCACAATGACAAACTAATTATACAAGACTTATAGTAATTACTCACATCTGACATATTTTATACTATAGAACAGCTATCTAAAAAAATAATAACGTATCAATTAGATTTCAATGCTTTTAGCTACGTTTTTACTTAAATTTTTTTTGTAATGATAAAAAAAAATATTTTTTATAATAAACTATGATTAAATTTGATAAAAGTAAAACGATTTTAGTATACTCACAATCATCACAAGCTGAAATTAAAACAAATGTTTTTTAAACGATTTTTAACTATAAATAAATAAATATGATAAAAATAAAATTAATTTAATGTACTCACACTTGCAACCTGAAATTAAAAGAAATGTTTTTTTAATAATATTTTTGAATAATAAAGGATTAAATTTAATCAAAGTAAAATAAGTTGAGTGTACTCACAGTCACATCCTAAAATTAAATTAAAACTTTTTTTAAAATATGTTTTAATAATAAATAATTCAATTTTATAAAGTATAATAATTTTAGTACACTCACCACATACTGAAATGAAAACAAATAATGTTTTTAAAATAAATAATTAAATTAAGTAATAGTAAAATAATTAAATTATAATTAAAATTATTATTTACTTGTCAACGTAAACGTACTATAAACGTAAAGTTATTTTATCCCAAAATAAGTTAATATTGTACATTAAATTATAAATTGATTAGAGACTAAAGACCATGAAGAAAGGATGACATGACTTTATTTATGTCCAACGCTAGTGCAGAAATTTTATTTTTTAAGGGATTACCTTAAGTCATTCGAGCATGTCTGCTTTTGAGATGTGTTTTCGTTAATATGAGGGTAATCATTTAATGAGCGCTTGTATTGTACATTCGAGTTATTATTATTATTTAATTATCTACAGAAAGGTATACATACCGACCGGATATCCTAGTGGTGGTTCTAGAAAATAATAAATTTAAAACAATCGAGGGATTTCATTCTGGATACAGTAATGTATATTAATTATATAATTTTGTCAAAAATTCAAAATTATGATTTATTTGTAGTAGTATGAAAGTGGTGAGAAGCTGGGAAAAGAGGGGTACTTTGATGTGTTGAAGTGCCTTTATATGATAAAGTGACCTTTTCAAGTAGTAGTGTACTGGTGGATTTTCAAGCCAGTACAGTCCAAACCAAGCACAGTATAAACCAGCAAAGTTAGAAAGTCTTAAATGAAGGTTCTGTGTTTACAAATGAGCATCAAAGCGTTTATTTGAAAGCGATTTTATTCACATAGTATTTTATTGTAGCCGACATAATTTCCAAATTGAGATTTTCATTATTCATAGCTGTACTAACATTTTGAAGAAAATAAGAATGGTTGCATGTTTTTATTTAGTTAGTCCTACCACGTGGCCAACAATAATATTATATTTTTGAAAAATACAGTCATTAACCTTTACTTAACATTAATTATGACCGATTTACTTTTTAAATGTACATTCACATAGATAGAAGTAGGCTATATACAGTATATTTTCGGTATGAGAAACATAAGAATTACCATTTTGTAAAAAAACAATAATAACGGCGAGTCCGTTTTTGTTAAGTAGAAATATTCGGATAATGAGATAATCAATTGTCGAATTGTTTGGATTGTATTATAGTCTTTCTCCATGTATAAAAATAAAAAAAAATTGTTATACTACAAAAAGTAACTTTGTTAATTTGCTGAATATGGTTAATTTTAAACCGAAATTATTAAATTCGGATTCCTAGAGTTATAAACAAAATAGGACATTAAAAAAAATATCTAATTCTATGTAATAAATATCGAAATATTCGTGTGGAATTCTCTTTAATTGAATTAAGTCATTATAGAGGCCTATAAAATGACATTCCCACGACAAAAAATTTAATGATAAGAAGTTTTATATACATACATTTTTTTTGTTAGAAATTTTTAGTCTAAAAGAAAAAAAAAATTATTTATAGCCAACTTTGTTAGAAAAAATAAAATGTACTATTAGTGTTAGTATTACTAAATAAAAAAAAATCTTGTTCCATATAACTCAAAACGACAATTTAAATTAGTCCATTATTGCATAACATTATAACATCATACATATAAGTACATTCTTATTTTTCAAGTGAACGTGTGTGTAAAGACAACTGCTCATTTAAAAGTATCATACTGCGCCTTAAATAAAGTCTAACTACGCATGGCGGTGGAATAGGTTTTTTTTACAAATTAGTTTTTTTCTTTGTATGTGAAATATGTTTAAATGTCAACAATAAACAACATATAATTTTAGAAAATTGTACCTAACACATTTGTACTAATTTAAACTAAATTATTAATAATCATTATTCAGTGAACAAAAAACAAGTCATTAAATATTAATTCATACAATAATAAAATCAATTAATTAACTGTTGCAAAATTGTTACCGCAACCTTTATTATTATTATTTGATAGACTAATGTTTTACTATTTTCTAAAACACAATACCTACGTAAGATTTCAAGTCAACTACAGAATTGTTATATATCATAATTTGTTATACTTCTTAGGAGTTAATTAGTGGCTTGTTAAAAAAAATATATTATTATTATTAATTGGGTACAATGGCTGTGGAGGTACTTTTAGCAAAATTTAAAATTTTAATTCACCAACAATAATAAATAATTAACAAGCTATTTTAATTATCTTCATAAAATCTATTGGATATATATTTATTAACCAAACAGCCATTCATTTTTTAAATTACTAATTCAACCATTGAACCAAATAATATTAAATTGTTTGAATATTTTATACATATGTATACATAAATATATTTTATTTTAGAATTAAAATTATGTTTACGTTAGCTAATTAAAAAAAACCTTAATATCAAAAAATGTTTTTAAAAAAACAATGGGTGTATAATACCATCATTTGTTTGGTTTTTTTGTGATTTTCAGCCAGACCATAAAGTTTAAAAATAAAGCAGTTTAAATAACGTTTATAAGGTATTGTCTATGTATATTTGATTGAAGTTTTATTCTGTTTAATGTTAAATATTGGTGATTTTACAACTCTGAAACCCTTTAGTTTTTATTCATGCTAATCTATTTTGTTAAAAAGAATTTAATTATTCAAGAAAAAGTCATTAACATTTAACTATTCAAGTAGTTCTTAAATATAACCAGCCGTTTAAATTAATTCTAACATGAAACATTATTATTTACCTTATATTGATGTTGTTATTAAAATATTTTCTTCACAAAACATCTACATTGTCCTATAAGGACAATGTAGACAATCTATATTGTCCTATACAAAAATATTGAAAATGAAGTGGCCCGATATACTGATACATTTTATTTTATTATAAAAAAAATAGTTATAGCATGGAGCAATTTTATTTTGAAAAATATATAAAACATTTTTTTTTTTGCTTTTTTATCGAATTTAAAGGAGAAGAGGTAAACTTTTTAATTATTTTACCTAATAAAATACCATTCAGGCACCATTTTTTGTTCTGTAAGTTTAATTGTAAGGTATTAAAATACAAAATTCTAATTATGTAATGTTGGCTAAAGAAACATTACAGTAAAAACGAATTACTACAACAAATTATGATTAAGAAGTAGACTCTATAAAGTTCCTATAGTAGATAACTTTGTAGTTAATAATTTTGAAATAATTTACGAATGAATGAATAGATAAATAATTTAAAATAAAACTAAATTTTTAAACTCATTTTTTTATTTACATAAAATTGATAAAAAATATCATTAACTAAGTTCTACACAAGGTCTAAATAAATAAATCGTATTATTTTTTTAGTGCTCTATTCAAAAAAATTAATAAATTCAATTTTTATTTATATAGATAGTCAGTATACTTATTGTAAAATTACGACAGGTCGAGTATAAATAACAAAAATACAAACAATTAATTCGGAAAATATATACAAGCTGAAGAAAATAAGCTACAAAAGTTTAAATAGAATAAAATAAAATAAAACCAGTAGAATATTATAATGTGTTATTTAAATGAAAAATTGAGCCGGAAAGTAATTTAGATACATATAGTAAAATGTCAACGAAAAAATATTATTTCTACAAAATGGAATGGGTTATTCCAGACAGTTATGATTATTGCATGACTTTATAGATTTCGGAACATGTTAAAGCATGATTGACTCTGAAGACCTTTCACCCGAGTGTACGATTGTATGCTTTTTAAGAGTTTCAGATTGTAAAAATGTCTTTTTACATATCTCACATTGAAAAGGCTTATCGCCAGTGTGCGTTATTTTGTGTCGTTTTAGGTGTCCAGAACGTGAAAATGTCTTCTTGCATATCTCACATTGAAAAGGTTTCTCACCTGTATGGGTCCTTTTGTGTCGTTTTAGATGTCCAGAAAGTGAAAATGTCTTCTTACATATCTCACATTGAAAAGGTTTCTCGCCAGTATGGGTCCTTTTATGCTTTTTTAAATCTCCAGATTGTGAAAATGACTTCTTACAAATCTCACATTGAAAAGGTTTCTCGCCAGTATGTGTCCTTTTGTGCTTTTTTAAATCTCCAGAATCTGAAAATGTCTTCTTACATATCTCACATTGAAATGGTTTCTCACCAGTATGTGTCATTTTGTGTCGTTTTAGATGTCCAGAAAGTGAAAATGTCTTCTTACATATCTCACATTGAAAAGGCTTATCGCCAGTGTGCGTTATTTTGTGTCGTTTTAGGTGTCCAGAACGTGAAAATGTCTTCTTGCATATGTCACATTGAAAAGGTTTCTGGCCAGTGTGCGTTATTTTGTGCTTTTTTAAATTTCCAGATTGTGAAAATGACTTCTTACACATCTCACATTGAAAAGGCTTATCGCCAGTATGTGTCCTTTTGTGTTTATTTAGATTTCCAGAATGTGAAAATGTCTTCTTACATATCTCACATTGAAAAGGTTTCTCACCTGTATGGGTCCTTTTGTGTCGTTTTAGATGTCCAGAAAGTGAAAATGTCTTCTTACATATCTCACATTGAAAAGGTTTCTCGCCAGTATGGGTCCTTTTATGCTTTTTTAAATCTCCAGATTGTGAAAATGACTTCTTACAAATCTCACATTGAAAAGGTTTCTCGCCAGTATGTGTCCTTTTGTGCTTTTTTAAATCTCCAGAATCTGAAAATGTCTTCTTACATATCTCACATTGAAATGGTTTCTCACCAGTATGTGTCATTTTGTGTCGTTTTAGATGTCCAGAAAGTGAAAATGTCTTCTTACATATCTTACATTGAAAAGGTTTCTCGCCAGTATGGGTCCTTTTATGGTTTTTTAAATCTCCAGATTGTGAAAATGACTTCTTACAAATCTCACATTGAAAAGGTTTCTCGCCCGTATGTATCCTTTTGTGAATTTTAATAGTTCCAGAATGTGAAAATGTCTTCTTACATATCTCACATTGAAAAGGTTTCTCGCCAGTATGTGTCCTTTTGTGCTTTTTTAAATCTCCAGAATATGAAAATGTCTTTTTACATAGCTCACATTGAAAAGGTTTTACACCCGTGTGCGTCTTTATGTGGTTTTTAAGATGTGTTAATTGTGCAAATGTCTTCTTGCAAATATCACATTGAAATAGCCTCTCGGCTTCATGTGACCTTTTGTGCTTGGTTATATTTTCAGTTGAAATTGTCTTTAAACCTAATTCACACTGAAATGGTTTTTCGACTGTGTATTTTTTAATTGATCTGAATGGATTTTCTCCACTTTGAATTTGATTATATTTCATAGAACTGTTGAGTGTATTGCTAAAAGGAAAGTAATCAAAATATTAGGATAATAACTTAATTGTAGTCAATCTATTATGAAACATTATCCATATTTATACAATTCATACTCAGTGCAATGAGGACGCAAATCTTGGTCCTTGAAATTTTCTAAGTCTTGGTTTTCTTCAATTACTATCTCAGATACAAATAAACAATCATTTCTGATTTCATCATCCTCCTGTTTAATTATAGTCATGGTCTTTGGTTGTTTAACTGATGTTTCTTTAATTTTATTGCTCGTTGTATGGATGTTTAAACCCTTGCTAAAATGTCAGTTTGTATGTTAGTAAATTTCACAAAAGGAATTAAAATAATTTACCTTGATTGTTTTTTCACGTGACGTATCATATGTTCATATTTTTACTATATGTAAATTTAGAATTTTTTATCCATGATCGTAAAAAGTGTTTAAAAATTTGTCTTAACACCACTTTTTATAAAAAAAAATAACTAAAAATCAGTTTTTTCATGTAAAATATAATCATCTTTCTGAAAAAAAATATTCTCGAATTTTGGGCAACATGAAAAACATCTTTTTAGATGATACATTTTATTTTAATGACTTTCTGTCTTGCGAATAGGAAAATCATCATCTAATTCAGAAAGCTGATTACTTTGGGAAAGTTATTGATAATTTATACTTTTGATAGCCAGAGATACTTTAAAAAAAACAATAAAATCAAGATAAAAACTCAAAATACTTTTAACGATCATGGCCACGATCATTTTATATATATACTATTGTATCTTCGAAAACGATAACATTGTTTGCGTGGTCAATAAAGATAAAATATTACTAAGTCACCCCAACAAATATCAGCAGTGCCACTTTGTTTTGTTTTGAGGTTATCAAAATAACGATAGTAAAATTGCACTTACGCAGTAGAAAGAGTGTTCTCGTATTCTTCCTTGAATAGTGCTATATCTTGATTTTCTTCAATTTGTATGGTAGATTTGAAATAACAGTCATTATCCACTTCGTCGACCTCCCATTTATTTACATTCATGGTGTTTGGTTTGCTAACAATAAAAACGGCTTTTGTAGAGTATTAATGAGGTTATGTAATGGTGTCTCTTAAACTATATTTTTGAATTTTAAGCGTTTCTTGAAGTAAAAATATGATTTTCAGATGGTTTAAAACTTGGACAATCAGTTCATTATCGTAATTCCAATTCAAAATCAAACTTACCCAATGGAAAGTGTATCCATATGTATATCCATTATAACTGGTTTATCTTAATTTCTATAAATGTCTGTCTTGAATGTGAAATACTAATATTAATCTACGGCAAGTTTATACTTATAAAATTATGTTTAGGTTCTTCAAACTTATTAGTAGTTGTATCGGTTTAATAGAACCTAAAAAATAAGAGTTTAATATAGATTTAAGGCTTTGATAACAGAAATACGAGTAAAATAGTTAAAATCTATCAATGTAAAAATCAACAAACAATTATCAGCTTCATAGTTAACGTAGATGTAGTCTAATAATATAATATTATGTATAAATTCTCATAACCCTGCATAATTATTTGAAGTGATTTTTTTAATTAGTTTTTAAGTAAATCGTAAGAATTTTAATCCCCCGAAGGATTTCTCACATAATATAGAGCAATGTCAATGATGAAAAATATACAATGTTACACAAAATTTATTTTCTATTATGTGCTTTTATTTTCTATATAATATTAAACATTGTAATATTTAGGCATTGGTAGAAGCTCCAACCCCACTCAAACGTCTTTCATACGTTTATAATAAGTAATAACTACAATAAGCATATTAATATTTAAAAGACTATTTATTAATTTTCGACCACTGTAATAGCATAATTTAATGTTAAAAAAGTGAGTAAAAACTGCACTTTAAAAGTATTTTTATGATATATTTGTTAAAAATAACTTGAATAATTGTAGGGCAACAGTGCAAAAGGTACTATTTCTCATGTAATCAGTCTAGGAAGAAAAATATATCGATGCAAAACATACAAGGTATTTAAAAAAAAAAATTATTTATCTTATTTTATATTTTAATTTACTGTTTTATTTTATTAAATTTTATGACTTAAGTATATGTAAAGCGGTCATTATGTTTTACGCTTACATTACATCATTAAAAAAAAATTTTAAAAAAAATCGTTCATATCTTTAAAAACTATACATTTCTCCCTTCAAAAGTTTGTGATAGCCTGTTATTTGTGATAAGGTCCTTTTGCACCTTATTACATAAAATACTAGTAAGGGTATGTGCATTTTTAATCTATTTATTTGTGTTTTATTTTACCAAGTCCAAAGAAATAAAGAGAAATGTAATTAGTAGATGTAGCCATACTTAATCCAATGATATTTAAACCTAAATAAGAACCGCTATCCGTAATAACCATCTTTCCACCGCAGTCGGATTAAAATGACTTCATTTAAGTACATATAAATGATATGATTTCAAACTAACCACTGAAGTAATGTTAATTTAATATAAGAAGGTGATTTCAGCACAATATACTTTATTAATCTTATAGCGACTATTACAAAGAGCATTGGCGTTTATTTTTATGAAGTCGACGCAGAATTTATTATCAATAATAAAATAATATAAAGTACTTACGTTTAGCAGCTAATTCAGTAGTACAACATTTAAATATTGTATCTTAGTAAATTCGAGAAACAATAAACATGAAAACGTTATATGAATCAAAATATTATATTTTAGTTAAACATCTGGAATTTGCAAAATAGCCGACATAAGCAGTTTTTACCATAGACCTATTAAAAAATGGACTGATAGTAGAGAGAGAGAGGTCCGAATATCGAAATCGTAAAAGAGAGACAGAGAGAGTTTTTAGGTATGGCATGGAAGAATATTATAAAAAATATTATATCATGGAGAAATAGTAATATGATAATAACCGATAACGAAATTTTTATATTAAAAATGTTTAATTCATCTTATTAAAGTATTGAAATTTAATTGTCATCATTTTAATTTCTCATGATGGTTTTTCAATGTAAAATTGGAACTCGTCGGTCGCATTTAGGTACTCTATGTTTGAACTTCTCATTACGTGCCCAAAACATTTGATTCCTTTTTTAAGTCAACAAATACCTGCCACACACTTTGTTTGTATTCAAACTTTTTACATGATTTTCTTTAGCTCACTAACTAGTACCGTACGTACGTACGTTTGTACAGGTATTTTTCAAAACTTGCAAAATTAATTTAAGCCACTTCCCAATGTCGTATAGGGCTGAAACTTGGTACAGACACTCATATTGGACGACAATACAATGACCTGTAATCATATTGGGGCAAAGACAGTCAGGTCACCCTACACAGGGTCAAATGTGGGGGTCATTTCACTAAAATTTCATTTTTTTTTCAAATCTTCAAAATTAATTTAGTAATCTATTCAGCAATTATTAAATACCTTTAATAGGACTAAAAAGTAAAAAAAAAAAAAAAAATACAAATATTTTTTACAACTGAATACTGATAATTCGTGATAAAAACCAAATGGTACATAACTCATAACTGGTACATAATAATTTTATTTAATTATCAAATAATTATTTGAAATACATTTTTATTTTCAAAAAATACCTTATTTCAAATGATATTTTATTTAAATACATTTTAGTTTGAATATTCCAAATATGATATAACTTATTATTATTTTAAATACAAATTTATTTGCAATTATTATTTAAGTAATGCCCAAAACTATGTTTTACCTTATACAACATTATAACATCAAATAGCAAACTTACATATTTCACTTAATTTGATTTAGTTTTATTTATTTATTATGTTTTATATATTCCCAAAATACAGACCACTGTAATACTTATTCAAATCAGTGTGAAAAAAATGTTTCCAAAACTATTACCGATGAAATTAATTTTAGTCAGAAATCGAATGTCTCGGATAGGTTAGTATTTGTAATTTTTCAAAATGTATTTTTCATTGTATTTTTCGTTTTTCTTTTTCAAGAAATTTTATAGTGAATAACACAGATCAAACAAAGTACGAACAATATATGGAGACATACAGTCAAACACCAAATAATGACAATAGCAGTTTTAATTAAAATTCAGAACTGAATATTGTATGTGATGAGAAATTTACTACATTCAGCACAATTTGAACTTCAATTACAAAATCTCCGAGTTGTGAGAATGCTTTGAACAACATGGACACATTTAAACGTACAAGTGGCTACTATCAAAATAATATTATCAACAATGATAGTAGTGCTATTGAAAGTATTAGATAGAATTTATTGTCCATAAGTTTTACCGGGTTTAATGAAAAACTGATTAATGTAAATCTATTTCAGACACATAACAGTTGCGATTCACAGTCTGAATTCTTTAACTCGTTCAGAGCATACAATAGTTCGGATAGTAATATTCTGCAATAGTTTGTTATACAAGCAATGGTTAGGAATTCTCGATCATAATAAGTTGAAATATAAATTAAAATAATAACATTTAGACTGTTGAGTGTTGATCATTATCTAATTTAAGTCGAAAGTACAATTAACGTTTTACAACAATTTGATTTGATCGGTCAAACGAGTGAACTCACAAAACTTTTTGGAATATAATTCTACGAAGTATTATCAAGAGGTTCACGTGTATGAAAGTACAGTTTTTTTTTTAATTTTAAAAAAATAGACAAATCACTTTTTTGTTATTTCAGTTTCGAGTCGAGTCATTGATGTTACGCCTTGCGAAAAAGAAAAACTTTGTTGCTGTAACATCGAGTATTAAGCAAAGAGCTGAAATAATTGCGCCACAATGCTTGCCTTTAATAATGGAACTTCAGTCCAAGTATATGGTTATTTTTGTGCTTAAAATATTAGAAACTACTCTGTAAAATAATATTTATTTTATTTGAAAAGATTCTACACAGATCCAGTTGTGGTACACTTTTGGAAGATTTTAAACATCCAATTACTCGGTCTTAAATTAATAGGTATCGTAACATATTGTTATACTTCAGCCAACTTTTCGGACAGAATGCCTAGCATCGAAGTACTATTTATGATGTATTTATGGTATAATGCCAAGTATACACGTATGTACCAAACTGAAAATAAATTTATCTTATGCAATAATTCGTGGTTATCATTTCTCAGACAATTGTCGTCGACTGATAGAAGGCTTCTGAATGTGGATACAAATCAATGGTAAGTAAACCAAGGGTCCGGATAAAGTTCCGGCAATAATAAATATTTCACATTTAATTGAAACTTCAAAAAAATCGAAAATCTTTGAAAATGTTGATTATAGTCACTTTATGAAAAAATTTGTAGGTTTAATATATTTTCTGATAGATTTATTTTGTGATGGGTAGTACACTCTTCTGAAGCATAGATCTGTATATAACAGTTTAAGCGTTGTTACAACAAATGAAAGGGTAATGAGTTAACTAATCATAATCCGTTTAATCTTTTGACTATGGCAGAATTTAATGTTAATTATACTACAAAACCAAAGTGTACAGTTGTTAAAATTCAATAGTTGCCCTGTTTGAGTTTTTATTATTTTTTTTTTTTATTAATCTAATTTAGATTTGGCGAACGGCAAAATACAATTATTATCTTAATAAATGTAATCAAACCTTTCCTTTTTTGTACTAAATGAAACCAGGTGATTTTGTGGTATATAAGTTCCTTTTAAATGAATTTTGTATACTTTAAACATTTATTTATACAAACGTTTGGATGTAAGAAATGTAACATAGTATAGATACGAGTATTATACATTTATAATATATTAAAATTAAAGCGATCGATTTTCTAACAAACATTTGGAAAATATTAATATAACTAAATCGTTGTGCGAGTTCAGTAGTAACATTTTAGAACCTTACGATGTGTGCATAGTATGTCGTATGATACCGTGTTTTTGTATTATTCTTTTACGTTAAATGACATAACACAATTGATGTAAAAACATGTTTACTAAATAAGTACAATAGTACGCCTATGCGTGGTGTGGTAAA